AAGACTTATCAAATCGTCACGAACAGATTCTGGGATTTTCAAGATTCGCTTCTCTTTATTTTGCAAAGTTCTGTGCTCGAGATCGCGTAATTTCGAAATAAATGAAAAGACGTTTACAATTTTGACGTTCGGCGAAGCGTCCGTTTTGTAACGTTTTATTATCGTGTCCAATACTTAAAAGTGATACATCTCGAAAATTATTGGTCGGAAATTTTTTTTACTATTCTTCCCGTGTTCCTCGTCAAAAATGTCTTCAGAAACGACCTTTCAAATAGGGGGCCACAGTTATCGTAATCGTGCCCGTTCTAGTACTGTGAGATTAATCTTCCGTGTAATTTATGATGTTCGTCGAATGGTGTGATTCGGTAAATTTAAATCTGTTTGACGAATGTAAAAAGACTGCTTACATGTACGTATGACGTGCAACGTTGCAACAAACTTCTCTGCGACAAGCTTGACATCTCAGTTTGTTTTGAGATAATTTCTGTGGTTTAATGACCAGCAGTATTTTTTTAACTCATTAAAAACTAGAACTCTTAATAATTTATGCGCTTCCTCGAAATGATAACAGCTTCATACATACACACACATACATATATATTTTTTAAATAATATTTCATATATTGACGCATGTGCAAAAGTATATCAAAGTAAAATGGTGTGCGTTTTATCGCGCAAATATTTACACTCTGTTAATTATAGTCGTCGCATATGTTATCGCAAAACATCGATGTTTACATTTTCTAAGTTATATGTCTTTGTATATATAACATCTTCTACAAGGATAGATGTCTGTTTATATCTTTAGAATTGATCGCAGAGTTGAACTGTATTCTTAAAAAACAAGTATCAACTTGTGCAATTATTTTATATGATTATTTTATATAATTTTATATGATATTTATTTTATATGAACACTCTCTATGAATATATTATGCTCATAAAAGAAAATAATCTAAAATGTTTTAGTCATATTAGTAGGTTATTATAATTAGGCTAATAGGAATGTCTTTTTACAATTTCTAAAAATGGAATAAAACTGAGACACTTTCAGAATATTATGTATACGAGACTAAGACAGCTTAATCAACGAGAACGTCCCAGAGCTCTTCTGAAAAAAGAGAACATGTTTTCGGGGAGTTTTACCTTAAATATATTTGGGCATTTTGATTATAATATACTTTCGTATTTTGTTTCTCAAGATGTCACCAAGCTTGTTGTTGACAAAAATTTTAAAATAACGCTTATTTAATTTACTAAAATTGCTAATAAATGAACAAGAACGCGCCCTTTACTTAAATGTACATCCCACCACTTTATTTCATGATAACAGTCAGTTTATCGTCGGCTTTTACGATGGCGGTAGAGGCTCTGCCAATCGGTACTCGCGAGTATCCTGCCAGTTTTTCCGGGCAAACACAATTATCGCGTTTATCACAAGATACTATCGCAACGGTCCGTTGCCGTGATATCAAGGCTTTTATTGTGCAAGCGGGAAAATCACGGTAAAGTTAGGCGTAAAGCAGTTTATATCGTTGATCGACGCGATGCAATATAAGCATTACAACGTCTGAAGGCCGATTTCTCTTCAGAAATAAGATCTATCTAATTTTAAGATGACTTTTTCTTGGCAGATGTTTTTTTTATTCGAGCCTAGTCGTTAAGATGTTTAATCAGAATGAGAGTTAGGAAGTTACAAAGATATTTAATTAAAATCTTGCTAAGAAAAGATTTCCAATTGACTTTCAATTGGTCAGACAACACATCTCTGCAAAGTTTGACGAGTCATTTTAAAATCATGTTGGAATATTAGAATGTATGATGTTTTATTATTCAAAGATAAATTTAAAATGTAAATTGCTTAATTTTAAACAGAAAAAATTTGCTTCTTATACTTCTTCGAAAGAGCCTAGTTTACGTCTATTAACATTTTTATACTTGACCTTGATTTTATTGCCCTCAAAAGATGATAAATTATTGAATAATAACGTCAAAATTTATCTTCCTTCATGTTCCTATGATATAATAATATTGTGGTATACATATGGAAGATATACGTTATCGATTAAGGGTGAGATTGTTGGTTTTTATGAGACTTATTCACGCTCTGACTATTTCTAAAGATCTCCGAAGGATATGTCGCGGTCTGTAAACGTCCAGGTCGACATCACATTTACTTGACATTCATCCGCACCCTCGTTATCTTCGTGTTCATTTTTCACGATAATGTCATCCGACGTCTTCCGTTGGCAGTGGCATATTCGTGAATGGAGAAATGGCGGATGATTCACGGACGAGTGAGCAAAAATAATCGGCCTCGCGGAATACTCTCGCTTTGCTGGATAACAACTCCGGTTATTCATTATCAGTAATCGATACCATCGGCCGTTTTCGAAACGCAGCAAAAATCGATACTAGTATTCTATCGGATGTCATAGCATTTGCGCGAAAATTTTGGCGCGATTAAGTTATTCATTTTTCATTTACATAAGTAAACACAGCTGTAAACGACAGCTTTTCAATGTTTATATAGACTTTAGATAAGAGTACGAAAAAAGATAAAATATTATTAGAAACTGTTATAAATACACTAAATATATTGCCTAACATTATTTTTTTGAAATGTGATTATAAAGTTTTAACTGTCAATGATTTTCCTTTTTTTTTGGATTAGAAACTAATTTTTTTTAAATCTTTGCTTAGAATATTTTCCGATATTGTGAATCGATAATTTGTCGAATTTAATGTCACTCGTGTCGTAAGGTTTTCCGATTCAACTTGCTCTAATAATAGACCTCTTGTAACGTTCGCTCTCAATTGGCGATGGTATATCGGCTAGTTCGAGCCGGCCGTGTAATACTCCGATATCTATTTGCTATCGACGTAATTAGCGTCGATATTTCTCTCTCAGCTGGCGGACACCGGTGACAACTGCCTTTATTTTTGGCAATATTCCGCCGCCGATCGCCGTTTTTCCGACGTTTCAAACTGCCATTCAGACCGCGAGTGCACCGTCCACACACGTCGACGTTCTGTAATTTGTCTGACAATATTTTTTATCGATAACCCGTACATTCTATCGAATATATATACATGTAACATCGTGCGTTATTTTTTTTGCTGTCGCGAACGCGAATTATTTTTATTAATAAATATAAAATATTACGGATATATGTATAGGGAATAAATATATTGTTTTAGAATTTATATTTTGTCATTTTTTTTCGTCTCTAAATTCATCAAAGTTTCTGCCATTGATCCGATAGTCCGATATCCGATAGTTACAATAGGTCCATCATGCGTGAGAAATCGATGTCATTAAAGACAATTTTGAAAGATTCAAACTTAATAAAATGTTGCACGCACGAAACGGCCTTAACCTTTTACATATGCGATGCGGATTCCGTGAACTTGCATCGCGCGTATTTATACGCGCAGATGGAATATATTAAGTCCCTTGTCGTACATACGTATATCCATCGGTTCCAAGTTCGTCCGAATGCATCGTCAAGATTAGCATTCGCAATGTCGCAATTAATAAAAACGTTATATCCTGACTTTAGTTAATCTATTTACGGAATAATCGTTGCTTTCTCTCCTTTTTATAAAATAATTAAAAAATTGAGTGAAAAAAAATTTGAGAGATTGTTTATCCAAAATTTTTCCCAAAAATCTATACACGATATTATACCTGTTACTATAATTTTTCCGAAACATCCGAAACGCTCTTTCACCTGTCCAATATTTATTTCTATAGCAGACATATTGACATGAAGCCAATAAACGAAGAAGCATTTCAGTAGCGACTCGTCGACGATTAAAATTTTATGTAGTTTATTGATTAGTCCTTTGAGACAACGGAAATTGGGTCAAAACTAACACATTGTTAAAATTTTCATATATACATATGTCATTTGACACTGGCCGTATTTCGGCATATTAAAACAAATAATAATGTAAATAGAATCTCAGCTCTTTTTAATTGCATTCTTATACGTATAGAAAATTATATTATTATATTATATTAATTTTATTATTTTTTACTATATAATTTGAAAAAAAAAAAAGATTTTTTTAAAGCCTTTATCGGCTGAAAAAAGTTAAATATATAAGTTTTATTTTTCTAAACCATCTAAAAAACAAATTTGATATTTCCGAACAATATACACTATTATATATAAACTTTTTATACTATTTTTTTAGAAAACATTTTTTTATATAAAAAAATATAGATATATATCTGATAAAAAAGATATATAAATATTGATTGTATGCAAAATTTACTTTTGTTACATTTTTCGCGAAAACCTTGCAAACGACGAAGTTGAACCGGCAGAAAATTGGAGTATTATATATATGAATTTCTTATTCGTAAAAAATAATAATCTCTATAATCTAATTTATTGTGTATACTTTCGTTTCTGTTGCTCTTCGCTCGTTCGAATTTTCTCGCGACAGGTACCAAAGAGTCCAGCTGAGAATCGCCATTGAGCGAACGATCTCGCGTTGCGCTACAACATGTTTAATAGACATAGAACTTGTTTGGTTTCGCTTCGGCCAATCGTTAATTGCATTATAACGAGTCCGCTCGAGAAAAACGGAGAACTCCCGAGTGAGAAGAAGAGAAGAGAAGTGAAAGAGGATGGTAGTACGCGAAGTATATAGCGACGTCGCTCTATACTCTGAAGAAGCCCCTGGGTACTTTCTCACTCTTTCTCCATCTCTTTTTCTCAGATCGTCTTTTTCACCGTCTCCCTCTCTTTCTCTCTCGCCGATCTCCGGCGTCACCGGCTTCCTCTTGAACATGATGGAACTCTCCCGGTCCCTCTTACCCCGGTAGAGTATATCCGCATCTTCCCCTCTCTCTTCCGCTTTCTCTCTATCTGCTACGGCGGCGGTGGAGAGGTCGACCGCGACGTAGACGATCGCGAGGTGGTGGTACCTGGCGAACGGCGGCTTGCCTGCCTGCCTGCCCGATGCCTGGAGAACGGCAATGTCAGTCTGTGCTCCGTTACTGGCCTAACGACCGGCCGAGTGATTCCAACCAACCGGAGCAAAGTATATATATATATATCTTTCCCTCTCTCTCTTTCTTTCTCTGTTCATCTTCTGCCCGCCTCTCCTCTTCGCTCTCTTCATTGTTTTATGCCCCCGGCACACCTGCCCACATTCCCCTGGTACCGCCGCGCTCTCGTCCCGATGTTCGGCCTGGGTAACAGGAAGGTCCTCAAATACTCCGCCATCGAAACGTCGCTCTCCCTTGACGTCGAGGATACGGTCACGTGTTTCTGCAGGTCAGTTTCCGGTTTGTCTCGCTTCGACGTGAAAACGCTACCCGTGGTGTCCTTGTATCTTGTATATATGTATACTGACGCTGTTGTGCGTCATGGTGATGCTGGTGGTTGGTGATGCTCGATAGCTGTACCGTTCTCTTGTGGATTTAGCGAGAGATGACACCAACTGCGCGGACAAGAGCTTCGCTCACTAAAAGTGCTCACATGTCGATGATATATATAGAGGTTCGAAATTGGTCAGTTGATCGGAATATAGTTTTATGATTTCTATAGGTAATACAAATTAATTTTTTTCTTTACCTACATGTAGTTTAGTCGTTGCATATAAAACGCCGGCTTTATATCAACAATTTTTGAATAATATTTCTAAGAGAGAGAAAATAAGAAGCGACAAAATTTAATATTATTTAGAATAAAAGATCATTTTTACAATTTTATTCTGGACGTAAGAATTTTAATAAAAAAAAAAAAAGGAAAATTACAACCGGTTAAAACCAGAATAATAATCATTTTTTTGCGTGCATTATTGTCTTTTAATGCGAATCTTAAGCAAGTCATTATCTTGGCATCGTCGTTATCTTGGCTTGAGGAAAGAGATATCGCTGATATCGACTTTGTTAACGATTAGACGACGTCGAATGTAACAAAACAAACAGAGAACAATTGCAATTCATCCTTTAGCAATTCGTCTAGGCTTACGTCATCGCGAAACAATAATAGCACAAGCAACTGCTTAGTAATACCAATGCCTTTTTTTCTTTTTTTAGTCATTACGAAACATGTTTACGTCGAAGGATACCATTTGAAGCGGTATTTATACGTCTAATGCGACAACTGGAAATATGATCTAATCATATTATTGTCATAAGACACGATAAAATTAGGATATAAAGCGAATAAAGTGTATATTCCATTTTTCTCCATTTTTTTTTCTTGCAACATCTGTTCGCAAAAGATATTATGTAGAAAAATGTAAATTGAGTATGAAAAGGCTATTGGAAGGCTGTCTGAAAACACGGAGAAATTTGTTTTATCAGGTGACGAAGTTGTTTTTCCGAAAGCTTGTAAAGTGACTTATATCTCACAAGGTCTAAGATATCCGCCACCAAGAGATATACGAGCATCGATATGCCGGGGCACGAACAAAGCGCGCCATGGTTATTCTCGCAAAATTTTACGAAATAAATCTAGCGAGAAAATATATACGACGCTGCAAAAGAGTATAGGATTACAATAAACTGTCTTATCATGCAACTGCTCGCAAGAGTCTCAATTTACACAACTTGATTCTTGCTGTAATAAACAACGGGAGAGATACAGTATTTAGTTCGTGACATCATCTTTACCGAACAATTGTTAGGTAATAACTTGCCACTTTATCGTGATTTTAGAAATCGTCTACACGTTATCACACAATGAATCAATCAAAAGGGCTTGTTTTGTAAACAGATTATATGTAATAATTATATATATAATTTTCCCTTTAAAAAATCGGTATTTCATTTGGAAATAAATCCTTAAAACATAACAAAATCTTAAAACACGCAAAGAATAAAATACAGAAGATTTCTACGAAAATAGATGAAATATTTTTATCTTTCTAAATCGAGAAAATTTCACTACATTTGTGCATCCAGAGTAGGATCTCGCATCAGCCGTATCGCGGCTTTACTTGCGTATCCGTGTGACGTAATTACGTTGCGGACGTGTGTGACGCGCGACGTGTGTAGCACGTGCCTATACGGTTGTCATGCGCTCGACGTGGTTAAGAGGCCGGCCGTTTCTGCGGTTTTCGAAACTCATCAAGGATGCTTGTATATTACATCGGTTTTTTATCGCATCAAACACGATACATGCCTTCGAAATATTACACTTTTAATTCGTAACGCGTGTACGATTCTGCCAGTAACGCTTTTTTTTTTTTCATCCAACTATTTTTCCTGCGCGTAAAATATAGGATTCGAAAAATTAAGTCTAAAAGAAGTGACCCCCTGACTAATAATTACTTATTAGTCTCCAATAAAAAGGAGTCATAAACTGTACTTCAAAATTTAACCGAATGTTTATTTTAGCGACGAATATTCCTGTGTTTAATTATCAATTTTTTACGTTATTCAATGTCAGCCGTGTTCTTATGTATACATAAGGTATTTTATCTTACGAATAATTTTCACTCGATGTTTCCTCAATAGAAGTTATCGAAGGTTTAATTAGGGAGTATATTTAAGTTTCAAGGTTGCTTAAAATTGAAAGCTTCGGTGAATTAAGATTCAAGCGCATGAATAGCTAAATAGAACCTCATTTTTGCCCCTCTTTATATATAGACGTAAATATATATAGTATATGTGTCTATATATATATAGTATATGTGTCTATATATATATAGTATATGTATCTACGTATTCTCCTGAACTTTGACGATGCGGTGCAGCATACGATTAAGGTTAAGTCAATATTTGCATTTGGCGAGGTGCTATTGGATGGGCAAGCTTCACACCTCGATGCTTCCTCGCTTATAGAGATCGAAGCTGGAATTGAGATGACGATGATATGACCTCGATTTTTAATGACCGTCCGATTGAAGATATCGAATCGAGCGCTTGCCATCTCGCAAACGTCAGTTTGTAAGCTGCGAATACAAGAGTTGCGAAAATAAAATAAAATGCACTTTGAAAAGAAATACGTCGTAATTGAGGAAAAATCCAACACGAATTTCTGCATTCACTTAAACTCCGTCCACGTTTGATTGCGCGTTTTAGTGGCTTTATTTCAATAGATATTATATATATGATATAGAGAAAAGAGTCCGCGGGATTTATTACGATAAAATATAATATAAATAATATATAAAATATATATAAAATAATAGAGAGCAACGTGTGTTCCCGAAACACGAAGCAGTTGATAGTTTATTCGATTCTAAGTGAAATAAAACATTCCAGATTGCTGAGAAAGCGTGTTTCGCTTGCGAATGTCGTGTCGGTATTTGTCGCGTGGCAAGCACACCGAGTTGGATCATACGTTTTCATTAGGCTAATTAACATAGCGACATTGACATTGCGGCAATGTCACGGTACAAAGAAATCCATCGGCTGTTTCCCTTATCGTGACTTTTTTTTATATTACTTTTCCGCAGTGTCATGTTGTTTGTCTGACATTTACTTTGATATTGCATTATCAGTTAATAAATTGCTAAAGGCGATCGCTATTCGCGGATGCGCGTTGCCAATTTCGTCCCCCCCCCCCTCATTGAAAGATTCATCCCGTCGTTCGGAGGAAGTCAACTTTTCTCGATTCATTCTATATGCGATACGAATATTTAATACGAAGAAGGAAGGCGGTTTCGTGAAGGACATGAAACGCGAGCCGATTAATGGACTTCCGGCGAGAGGTGACGTCAGGCTCGACGCGACGAGAGGGCTGCAGAAACCGCACAGACAAACCGCAAACTATCGCGCTGCCCACAATTGGCTTGGACACACCGCGAACGGGAAAACCTTCCTCTAAGCGGAAGTGTTTACACGCCAATCGCTCGTGTGGGGAGAAAGCGATGCGCGGCGTGCTGAATTTACCCTTTCTGGCACGATAAAAATAATCTTATCCGGTTGTGGTCTTCTCTTTCCTTCCCGCCATTTTAATTTAGAATATATACTCAATTAAGTAAAATGATATTTTTTTTTGTATTATAATCTTGCAAATTTTATATTGAATAGCATTTTTGCTCTTTGCTGCCATTCGCGATGTTTACAAAGACAGAAATTGGAATGCGTAATTCGCGAGAAAAAAGAAGAGGGAGGGAAAGAGATATCGTGGCGAATCAACCCCAGTGGCGTATGATGGGGAAGTAAACAAACATCAGAAAAAAATGTTTGTCAGGGGTAGCGCCGCGACGTCACGCGGAGGCGCCTTCGAGGCGCCGCCGTTCAGTCCGTCCATCGATTCGCATCCTGTAAGGATGTAATCCCGACGAAGGGAGAGAATCAGCCGCTCCGATGGCGCCCTGGCGCCAACCCTCCCCCTTGCCCTTCTCGATGCGAGCCATCCAACCTTCGGATTCTCTCTCTCTTTCTCTCGTCGATCTTTCTGATAATCATTTCGCCAGGATTGCGATCTCGTCGCGTTATCCGGGTTTAAGTTAAACTGCCCGTACAGGATCAGACTTCAAGGATCCCCGTCCTTAGCTTTAATTGTTATTTCTCTGGCTTTCGGTCATTAAGGATGTAATGTTGAGACCACGGGATGTAATTTCGAAACCTTGCCGTGCTTTCCGTCGTAATTTCTGACGTAGACAATATCGTTGGATCTTTCTGATTGTATGTAATTATCATTACAGCATCCTTTGTCGAGTACAATAATGTTTCGATGACTGGAATCGAGATAACGAGATAATTTGTCGTCCTTTTTATGTTGGATCTCAGATTTCGGGATTGATTAGTTTTATGATGGAAAACTTTTCTCTGTGTACAGAAAAGTACCGTTAAATTTTTCATTGTGTTGATTCTCGACGTATCTTGACCGAACGCATGTTTGAAATAAAATTCCGAATAAATTATTTATAATAGCGTCTTTTTTTTTATCTTGTCAAGAAATATTAGCGCGATACTTGAAAGTCTATCGAGTGTATCTCTAAAACTTTCTGATCGACATCTATTGAATCTCTTCCAGTTGTATATCCGCTGAAGAGTTTCACTGTTTAAAGCCGTTTCCGTAAATGACAATCTTGAAAAGTACAGCGGGCGTGAATCGCATCGCGATTTTCGTTCTTGCTGCACGCAGAGATGACATAACGAACGGATTATTTCTTTTTGCTATTTCGAGACACGCTACGTCATCGACTATTAATCTGCAAATATATAATCTTCCAGGACTGAAATAGACATGTCGCGACTCTTTATCGTATTCCGAACAAACTTATTTAAATAAATATGGAGCTAAAAATTATTATTTCTTGAAGTATATATTTTATTATATATTCAATTTTATATAATAATATAATTTGT